CATTACACAAAGTTTTGCCATGGGCTCAATTTCCCCCCGAGACTTTATCGACTTAGTAAACATCAAGCACTACGAAGGGAATATAAGCATTATCAGTTGTAAGTTGAAACATTTTGCTCACATTTTGGAATTACTATGAGTTATTAATAAATTTTTTCCCTTTACTTCACAGTTTGGAAGAAATTATATTTTCAGTTATTTCCTTTGTTAAAATTTGCTCAGTGGGACCAACAAGTACACATATCATGTAGACATGCCTGATATTTTACCACTTTGTACCATAAGGATCTCTGGATTCAAGGCAATTTAAGATAACTCATTGTGAAGGGACTTTGGTAGAACAATGGCATTGAGCCCTGTTTTTCTTCATACTTTAATTTAATCTCACATCTATCTAAACAGTTTCCACTACTGTAAATTATTTGGGGATAGGGATAATTAAGTTTTGTTAATTATTATTTTCCAACAAGCTTTTGGTTACTCTGAGATGTCTGTAGCACTCTAAGTTTCAGTTCCAAACTGAGTCATAGCACTCACTCAAACCCAGTTAGCTCTGTCTTGCAGCATACTAAGGGCTGATGTTCATAATGTTCATATATGTTTTGTTGTCTCATTTTTGAAATGAGGCCACATAAAATGTAGTCACTGCCTACAACACAAAATACTGTCTGTCTGAATCATAGATCTGGTATTTTTCATATTTTTAAAGCAGACCATTTCTATCTCATTATTACTGATCAGAGGGAAGCTTAAGTACTGAGGTTAAAATCAACAAGTAGAGGTAATCAGTCATTTGGTACACAAATCACTACTGAATTTGCTTTAAGAAATTTCCATGGAATGGATTTTTGATGAATACTTGTAATTTTCTTCTTAATGTTTCTTTTTTTTTTTTTTAGCCTGCACTGCACCTTGCTTTGAGCTAAATATTTTGCATGCATTCTCTCACTAATGAGGAAACTGAAGTTGACAGAATATTAAACAGTTAAGAAATTAAGCTACATAGCTAAGAAGCAGCTGAACCAAAATTAAAACTCAGGTCTCTCTGATTTTCCAAAATAAATGCTGACTGCCGCACCATATGCCTCACAAAACACCCATACCTGTTTGTAGACTATAACCAATTTCTTTTTAATACATTAACTGCCATGTGAGTTGTATTTAACTCATGCTAGTTTTGAGCCCGGGGCCTTGTGAAGCATACAAAGGCTCAACTCTCTGAAACTAATTCAGTAAGTATGTCGTGAGTCACATACAACTCAATTGGCATGCAGTGTAAAAATTAATTCTAGCGCCACGCACGTAAAACAAAAAATAACAAATTTTTCATAAAATTAGAAAGGATCGTTTTATTTTCAAAGTTCCTATTCTGTTTTCATAAAAAAACACTGTGGCCCCAGGGGAAAAATATTTTTTTTTCCTAGTGTGGCAGTCAATGTGTTGAAAAACAAGCATAATCGCCATATTTCAAACAGAGAAAAAAATATTTAATATCACCCTGAAAGTACCATTATGCCAACATAACAGGCTCTGTTAAGATAATGATACAAGTCATAAAAATGGAAAATTCATTGACCCACATTAGTCTCCTAAGCTAGTGTTTCACATTGTATTTCCCGCAGAATTGATTGCCTATGTTAAAATCATA